GGATGGATGGATGGATGGATGGATGGATGGATGGATGGATGGATGGATGGATGGATGATGGATGAATTTGATTTAATTTTATTTGATCAACCAATCAGTCTGTTTATCGTTTATCTGTCAGATCTGATATTTATCTCCTATAAACTCCAAACTGCGTCTTTATTTTTGTCGTAAACCATCTTTTAAAATCTGTTCCAGGTTAGATGAAACTGGTCAGCAGCTGATTGGCTGCTTTCTACATCCCTTTGAACTGCTGCATGATGGACAGCAGATGCTGGCTGCGTTTCTGGACGCTGTCCTGCTCCTCCTTCAGCCTCTCCTGGTCCTGCAGCACCTCCTCCTGACGACAGAAATATACACACAGAACCAATCTATGAGAAACACATCTGGAATAAGGCAGGGTTCATCATAAAACCAGGAAATGAAAGCTAAAACCTTTCATTTGGAAATAATTATTCAGTCAAAAAGCAGAGAGCTGAGTACAGAGCCATGGGCCCCCCCTCAAGCTTGGGGGGTCTGTGTGTTTGATTGACTGACTCGGAGTCTGCAGATCTCCCTCCTCTCTCGGTCGTTCTCCTCTGCTCTCGCTCGGAGCCACGCCTCGTTCTGCCAGCGGTGTTTCTCCAGCATCTCCTTCAGCTCCTGATGCATTCAGGACATTTTCATTCTTACTAAATAATAAAGGAGATGATCAAAGTTTTACTGCTGGATTAAAATGGACGTAATCTGAACCTGTTAGACTCTCTCCAAGTCAGTTTGTTTAGTCTGATTAGAGTTTAGATTAGATTCTTAGTCTCTGACGTAAGAGACTGAGATTCAGTTTTATGATGAATCTGAAAACAATTTTAATGTCAAATTAAAATAGTTTGTGTCCAGATTAGATTAGATTACAATGTTTAAATAAAATGGAGTTGTCCTGAAAGGTTAGATTAAATTAGTTTCTCCAGATTATATCGGAATAAATCAGTGTGGAACTTGTCTCGGTTAGACTAGATCAGATTAGACCAAATTACAGCGCTAACTGACCACATTAGTTTAAGGTTTCTCCAGATTATGACCGGCAGAGAGTCCCGTTACTGTCTGAAACAGACGGCATCATGTATTCTGGAGCCAGTTTGAATTTGGTGAAAGAAGATGAAAGTTTAGGTGACCTGCTGCTGTTGTTGTCTGTGTGTTTCATGTGCCTCCTTCTCTCTTTGCAGAGCGGCAGCAGCTTTGGAAACCTCTAACTTCTCTCTACAGAAAGAGAAAAACGATTCATCTGTGATTCATCAGTTGCTACAACTAGAAGAAGATGAAAACCTTCGTGTACCGATCGAGTTTCTGAAACTCCTGGTCCAGCAGAGTGAAGGCAGCCTGGATCATTTTCATGGCCTGATCTCGAACTGCGCTGAAGTCTCTGTGGACGTGAACCTGCTGCAGGAAAAGGTAGCTGTGTCATCAGTGGGTTTCAGCCTGAGCCTGAAACAGAGATCTGAGTGGGTGTGGGGGTGTTTGCTTATGTGACTAATTAGGACTTCTTTCTGGTACTAAACCTCTGAGGACCAGCAGGCCTCATGCAGACCAGGGTCTGGTCCTAATGTGGTACAGGCCCATCTATAATGGCGTGGATTATCTTTTGGTGAGGTTAGGATTGGGAATATTTTGGCATTGCATGAGGTTAGAGGAGGTGTCCGGGTTGGGCATAAAGGCAGGAACTAACAAACCCCACATGGATAGAAATATAAAGTTGTTAGTGAGTGTGCTGCACCTGCACATGTACTGCTGCTGCTGCTGCTCTGGGCTGGATGGACGGAGCTGAATCATTCAGCTCATAGCGGACGTTAGGAACCTTTGTGGGAGTGAAGCTGTTACCAGTAAAAACCAGAATGAAACAAAGATTTATAAAACTGAGA